GGGGAGGGAAAGAAAAAAAAGAAAAATGCCCCCCAAGCCATGAAGCCTCCTCGGGCAGCCTCCTGGGCTCCTTTCTCCCGTGGGCGGGTGACTCGGGAGGAGAGCCGTGTGCGTCTGCAGCCGGAGCTTCTATTTAATAAACATGTCAAGCAGACGGAGCGACAGGAGGGCAAAGGGGAGAGTCGAAGCCCATAGCACACACTCGCAGCCGCGCTGGAATGAAGCTCCGCTGCTGGTCTGTGGGAAGAGGGAGCATTTTCAACCGTCTCTTGATTTGAGGTCTAGGCGGGCTGCGAACAGGTCAGACATGCTGCGGCTCGGGGGTTTCACAAAGTCACTTTACCTACCAGCCTGGAGGGAGGGCCCGTTAACACTGCTGAGACAAAACTGCTGCTACGTGCTAGGGATGCCTTTTCAGTGTCACAGTCCCCAAACAAAAAAAGGCTTGCCAAGCCCTCACAGAGTCTTCGAGAGCGCTCTGGTCCCTTAAATCAAGCAGTGACACCATCTCGGCTCATCCCTTATTTAATTAGTGGTGTCCAGCGTGTTGTGACCCGGTGTGCTCTGTTTAACCTTCACTGATAAGAGCAGGTCAAGGGGCACGCAAGTTTGAATATAAAAATAAAACCAATTTTTCAAGGAAACGATATTTCCTTTTTAGCCAGAATTAATTGCCGAGTCAGTGCAGTGATTTGTTTCTGGAGACCACCTTCCATTGTAAAACCCGTCAAAGTGTAGCAATATACAGTACCCCTGCTCTCAAGGCCATCTGTGCCGGCATGAATTCACGGTGGACTCAGACTCTGCTGGAGGGAGAGAAATCTCGGACAGCCTTATTAGTATACGATGAAATGGAGCCACCTCAGAACGTAGTCCGCTGGGTGTTCTACCTGGCCTGACTTCGTGACTGAGCACCTGCAAAACGGTGAGTGGACGCTTCCTCTCCAGAGGCTAAGGCAGCGTGCATTTCCCGAGCATCCACCGCTTGCTACCTAGCAGGGCACCCGCGTGACCCGAGTTAGTCCTCGCCTCGTCAGCTAGGCGCTCTTCATCTACTTACAGGGCTCAGAATGACTTGTCTGAGGTCACTCAATCTGAAGTGGTAGGTGATGGCTCCAAGCCAGGGCCCCCGGTGCAGGCCAGGGCTCTGAGGGGAACACCTCCTGCAGCAGCTCTGCAATGCACGGGGCGGTCACTGTCTTGTCCGACTCCGCGGCAGGCCAGACTATGTCTCTTCATTTCCGTTTCCCTGAGTCTCCTACGCATTCCAGTCTCTTCAATTATTTTATTTTTTAAATTTAACTTTACTTATCTATCTATCTTTCTATCTATCTATCTATTTCAATTTGGCCAGAGAGAGAGAGAGAGAAAGCTGCCAGGTCCAGGATTCGATCTGCAGTTGGCCATGTGAGAGTCCAGCGCCCTTAACCACCACGCCACCTGCTGGCCCCAGACGGTCTCTTCCATTCTTTCAGGTCAGATTCAGATGTACACCTTCCTTCTTTCCACCTGCAATCTCTTTGGCCCTTTATAAACACAATTCCTGAAATCTCACGCCAGTTGTTTTGATGGACTAGGACACGAGTCTCTCTGACCATATCTATAATAAAAAATAAACTTTTTCTCCAAATCCGATTGCTATATGGTACAGACGCTCCGTATTTAATTTACCTGGGCTCTACAGGCCTGGTCTGGTCTACCCACATCAATGCTGTCTGTGTGACAGGTGTGTCACTTAGTTGGCTCGAAAGTGTGTGGCAGTTACATAAAAATGGCCATAACCTCTGACAGCCCGCTCACTGAAAAGCGGGGCCTGCTCTCTCCCCGAACCTGAAAGGCATGCGACTGACCCAACCAGGAGAGTACGGTGCTACAGAGCTGTGTGACCTCTGTGGCTAGGCCACGGAAGGTGAGGCGCTTCTGTCTGCGCTCTTGGATCACTTGCTTTCTAGAAGCTTCCTCACTCGGAACCCAGATAACCACGGTTTTTGGGAAGCCCAAGCCACCCAGGGGAGCAGTGTGTAAATACGCTAGATAATAGCTCTAGGTAAGGCTGTTCTCTGAGTCACCCCAGGCCTCAAACATGACCGCAGTTTTCACTCCCAGCTGTTGGAGTGAGCCCTGTCCTCCCTCCTCTGTTCTAGCAACCTGATCCTCCCCACTGCAGCCCTGCCCTCCTGGGGCCAGACCCACCGTGATGAGCGCTGTCTGAATTCTGGACCCACAGAACCTGTGATCATGGGACCAGCAGTTAGCGTAATGGCTATGTCGCTGGACTCCCATGTAGTGGACCGCGGTTCAAGTTCCAGACCCAGTGGCTTAAACGTACGCCGGGCATGTGTGTGTGCGTGCCCAAGATCCCGAGAAGAGAATGGAGGAGAAGGGATTGCGGTGTGGCCATCCCCCCTGGGGGGTGATTTCTCGCTTTCTGTCTCTCTCTGTCTTTCTGGCAAGTGCATGTGCCCTGTAGCAAAAACCTCTCAAAAAAAAAAAAAAAAAAAAAGAACCTGTGATCATAATAAAATGGTTGTCTGTTTACCCTAGCAACTTGGTTTTTAAGTGCATTAAAATGACTGGGAACAGGAAGGTCGTCACTGATAAACGAATTACAGGCCTGGGTGTTAGACACTCTGGCATCTGGGTCCCCTCACGTGCTGATGAGGATGCAGAGGAAAAGCATGGCTAGATCGTGGGCACTGGAAGGATGGTAGCTAATACCCTCATGACGCTGAGAGGACAGTGGGAAAGGGAAGGTCCCCGCAGCTCCCCTGGCCCTGCTCTGGTTCAGGGGAGAGGGTACTTGGAAACTGGCTGGGAGAGGACGAGAAAGAGCAATGGCAAGGCTGAATAAGAGAAGATGCAAGAAGCAGAGCAGGGATGAAAAAGCAGGAAAGAACTGGGAAGGAAATATGGAAATGGCATGCCAGACAGAAGAATGAAGCGAAGGTTCCAGAGAACTGTGAGGAGCTTCAAGAACGGACGACCCGCTCCAGGCAAGGGGCAGGCACCGGACTGAGAACCGCTGAACACCCCGGAGCTGCCTGTGTTTGTTCCTGCTGTTTCCGGCAGCAGTGGCTCAAGTAGGGGCTGCGTTTCAGGCTGGATAAGCAAGGATCTGGGGAGACGTCCTCGGTGGCATGAAGGGTTCCAGAAATCAGCTTTTGATTCTTCTACCATTACTGGCCACTGTGCCCAAGGCCGTGAGGAAGCAGGGCTGGCTGGGGTCCAGTGGTTCTCCCTCGTGAGCTCACAGGAGGGAGGGCGCAGGAGTTCTGGGGATCCCCGACTGACTGCATCTACATGTTTGTTTATGATGTGGAGTTTCCTATAGCAGTGTAAGTCCTGGTCAGAGACTCATGAAACTAGAAGCTAAGAGCGAGCTGGGCCAGCTCGTGGCCTGGTGGGTAGGGCGGCTGGCCCACATGACTGACAGTGTAGGTCGGGTCCCGGACCTGGAGGCCTAAACACACATGCTGGGTGCGTGCACATGCATGTGTGCCTATATCCTGAAAAGCCTGAGAAATGAAGGGACTGTGGCATGGCCATTCCATGGGGGGGTGGTGCTTTCTCGCTTTGTCTCTGTCTCTGTCTGGCCAGCACACATGTCTTCTAGTAAAATTAAAAAAAAAAAAAAAAAAAAAAGAAGCTTGGGAAGAATGTTTGGATATGTGCTTTTGTATCATCTTCTGGGGACAAAAGAAATCACTCTCTTTAGACCTAGCTGGTGGGGAGACTACTGGACTCTGTATCCTAAGGATACAAAATTAAGGTCCCCAGATTTCCAAAGCTGTCTCCAGACAACACACAATGGGCTTTGGGTCTTCATAAAACACAGGCTTTACTTTCAACCCAGAGGAAGAGTCACAGGCATTTCCAGAGGAGGGAACTTCCCACGTGAGGGTGGCTGTACGGGCCCAGGACGTTGCGTGTGTGTGGCTGGACTCGCGCAGAGCTCAACTGCTTTGGAAATGGAAAGGCTTCAACCCAAAGGGAGCGATTTCTGTTCTTGTGGTGGGTCAACTCGCTCTGCAAAGTTGAAAGGTACTAGGCCCAATGATACAATTTACTAATTTCCTTTTTTTAAAGAGAATGACAGGAAGACATTAATTTTAAAATTGCCCATCTGTCACCAGCTACAAAACAGAAGTGTTTCTCTGCTCTGAGAACGGCATAGACCACCGTCTTCATACATTTGTATCTCGGTAACCTTTTTTCCTCTGAGCAAAGCAATTCATCTAAATTATGGGTTCATCATCTGCCAAGTTTGTTCCTTTTTTAATGAAATCACTTGACAGTTAATAAACTGAAAGAGAAAGTCTACTCTGTGGGGCTTGCTCAGTTCCAAAGGTTCAGTGTTTTTGAAAATTAAATTTCCTACATGAAAAAAAATCTGTTTCTGACAGTCTTGTGGTATAACACAAAGCAATTTTTCTTTCTTCAGCTATAAAAACTTAATTTATAGGGCTTTGCACACTTAACTATACATGCACTTTACACTGGCCACAAATCAGCTAAATCACCCATAGAAAGTCGTATCAATCAAAACAATTTATCTCATTTTGGTTCTGTTTATATAAGAAACCATTACTTTCCTTAATATTTAAAAGTTGATGGGATGATAATGCCTTTGTCTAAAGAATTCGAGACAGACTTGTAAGCAGCGGCGTGAGCACAGGATTTGGGGTAGGAGAGTCTTGGGTACCCGTCCTGGCTCAGCCATGTGTTACCTTGGGCAAATCACTGCAGCGCCACCGTCTCCATCTATAGAATGGGCACGGTAACGTTTTGCAGGGTAGTTATGGGAACGAGAAAATGGAACATCTGCAGAACATCTAATATGGCTCCTGGATAGTAGCTTAGGCATCAGTACGTGTATTTCTAGTTTTAGGAGCCTGTCCCCTTTGCCCCAATCCAGGAGAAGGAAAAGAACTTCACACAGTATCTCCACTGAAACAGTAACTCTTGGTTGGTTGTCACCCACACAGACAAAGGGTTGATACCTGAAAAGCAGGCAGATCGAGAGCTGCGAAGCTGTTGAAGAAACGCAAACTCTGAATGGCCACCTGGACCGTGTCCTGGGCATAGCTCTCCTTGGGACTGGCAGTGCTGGGGTCCGAGATGGTGCCGTGGAAGAGGACGCAGTAGAGCATGTGCAGAACTCCAGCCAGGTCCGTGGCCTGAAGAGCAGCCGTCAGCCCAGTGGGATCCTGGCGGTTACTGTCAAATATGCTGCAGGACCTGATGAAGGAACACCAGCTGAGAGGGCTGCCTAAAGGGTGTTTGCATTCTCACAGGCCAAGTGGGACAAAGCCAGCAGACTGTTCAGAACAAACCATCTGGGACGTACAATGGGGCAACAAGAAGCCTCAGGGAGTACACGCGTCCTTCGTACCCAGGGCCCCGTGGCTTTGCGCTCCTTCCCCGGGAGGCCAGGCTGCCGCGGCCGAGAACTGGCAGGCTGGCGCCACAGCTGACCACCCCGCCCTCCCTGTGCAACCTGGGGGGCCCTGCTTTGTTCTGGGCCAATCCTGGGCAAGGCGGCAGAGTCTGTGACAGCTTTTGGGTCTCAGAGACCAAAAAACTGTCACTTCCTTTCTGGACACAAGAAGGAAGTTTCAGGGGAGACAGATACCAGGGGGGCACAGGCCTTGACAAACCCAGCAGATGGGCCAGTCAGTGGTGCAGTGGGGCTTGCAAGGTCGTCCCACAAGAGAAGGTTCTGGTTCAAGCCCTGAGACCTCCCTGGGTGTCTCGCTGATGCCTTTTAGAACCAACGACAAATCACAAGATGTTTCTCTTTAAAGCTAATTTCTCTTTTTCTTTCCTTTTTTCAAGATAAGGTCTCACTTTTGGGATCCTGTTGCCCCCACCCCCTGAACTGTTGGGACTACAGGCATGCACCATTCACCTGGCCCTAGGCTGGTCCAGGAATTGAACCTGTGAAGACTGTCTTGGCTGTGTGTGCCCACAGTGAAGCCCCTAAAGCGAACTTCTCACATGCTTCCAGAACCTTGGCACCGAGTGGCAATGCTGCTGGCGGCCGGTTTTCCTGCCTTTAGTGCAGAGCGCTGTCCCTGCCCCCTGCCCACTTTGTTGCCTTCACGCCATCACGGGCACATCACTGCAGACATTCGGGGAGACAGCGTCAGCACTGAGAGCCCTTCCTGACCCCCCCACCTTCCTGAGCACCTACTAAACGGCATGAATTCTTCTTCCAAAGAATGCAAAACAAAGAAAGAAAGAAAACACTTTAAAAATAAGTGCAGGACCAGCAGATGGCATAATGGTTACATCACTAGACACCACATTCTTGACTGTGGTTCAAGTCCCAGACTCGGCAGCTTAAAACTCATGGTGGGCGTGTTGGTGGCTCGGCAGCTTAAAACTCATGTCGGGCATGTGTGTGTGCATGCCCAAAATCCCAAGAAGAGAATGGAGGAGAAGGGACTGCAGCATGACCATCCCCCCTGGGGGTGATTTCTTGCTTTCCATCTCTCTGTCCCTGGTGCCATATAACAAAAATCTTTCTTAAAAAAAAAAAAAGGGGGGGGCAAGTGTAAGCCATCAGAACCATTATTTTAGAAAAACACTACTCTGATAAAATATAAAATGATACAGCCTAGCCTTTTGTGAGTACTCTCCTACTGAAATAAAAATGTTGGTTGAGGAAAATCAATTAAGTAAGCATTCAAGAACTCAGATGTGGAAATGGTTCAAACTGCTTCATGGAAGACTCCATTTTGACATGAGCCCACAGACTTGCGGAGGTGGTGGGGAGTTTGCTGTGTTTGGCTTCCACAGGGCTAATGGAGACCTGAAGGCTCTCGGGATCTTGGGCATGCACGCACACGCGCCCGGCGTGAGTTTTAAGCCACCGGGTCCGGGACACGAACCGCGGTCGACTACGTGGGAGTCCAGCGACATAGCCATTACACTAACTGCTGGTTCCCAGAATGTTTACTTTTGATTCAGCCTGAAATACAGATAATTTGTCCATGAGAGGGTCACTGGCTCCTGTTGGTCTTAACTGTCATTTATAATCACTTTAAACCGAAATGTTTATAATAAAAAAGTAAAAGGCCTTATTCATATCAGGCGTGGGTTATAAGGTTTCCTTTTCTAAAAAATAAAAAATACATGGAAGATGTAAAAAATCAGATCTGAAATCTGTATACTACATTCCGAGATTGTCTTAACTTTACTGGATTGTAAGGCGTTTTCATTTGGTCCCCAGGAATAGAGATCTTAGTGTGATACTCGTTGTTGCTCATCAACGTCTAGATTCAGTTAGGAAAACCAAGGTCATTAATGCCCCTGCACAGTGCCTGGACACCCTGGGTCACCTTAAAGGAGAGGACGCCTGGGCACCACAGGCAGTTGGCCGTGTGGGCGCGAGTCAAGCGCCACCCCTTCCCTCTGCCATGAGAAGCCGCAGGCTCGGGCCGGCTGAAACCCGCGGTGATGGTGACGGTGCAGACTGGATGCCCCTCCCAGGTCTGTTCTGGTTTGCTGGCACCTCCCGGTCCCCAGGTTTCTGGCTTGGTAACATCTACTCTAATCCCCTTCGGTGACGCTGATCCAGATGTTCCCCTGGCCGAGTTCTGGAACCCCTGGGGCATCTTGTGAAAATGCCTTACTGCGGCCCCTGAGCCCCAGCACTGCTCAGCAGACCGCAGAGCGCTGACTCTCCCAGGGACGGTCAGGACTCTCGCTGTTGGAGGGAGGGGCGTGTTTCTCAGCAGTGCTTCAGCTCCCATGTCCTGAGCTGTTCCGGGAAAGCCAACCTGCAGCCAGTGACATCCTCATGCGTCGGGCTGTGAGTGTGGAGAGACGCGATGGATGACGCTCCGAAAAGCCACATGTGCTCCAGCGACGGTGCGCGCTCACAGCACACCGGGCCAAGGAGCCCAGGGCCTGCCCAATGTGGGATGGAGTCCAGTGGGCACGGGTCTCCTGCTGCCTCTGAGCCACAGAGGCAGACTCCCGCGGAGTGGCTCAGACCCAGAGCTCTGAGGCCAGAAGTGTGGACTGCGCTTCCCCGGGCTAGTGGATGCGTCAGAGCTGTGCTCTGGGCTCCAGGAGAGCCTGTACCCGAGCCTTTCCTAGCTGGAAGAGCACGCGCTCAGGCCTTGCTTGTGCCGACTCCATCTTCGCAGCCAGCAGCATCTTCAAATCTCTAACGCGGGCCTCCCTCGCCCTCTTGTATTCACAGGACCGTTGTGGTCGCACTGACCCGGATAGTCCAGAATATGCCCCTACCCTAAGATCCTGAATTTCGTCACGTCTGCAGAGTCGCCCTGGCCACGCGAGGTAACTGTAGGTTTTGGGGATTAGGACGTGCACACCTTCTCCTGCCCACGGTGGGTCAGTTTATCCATTCAACATTTACTGAGCGCGACCGTGGGGCAGGCACTGGGATTCGGCAGTGAAACCCACGTGCTTTTCCGCATAGAGCGTGCACTTTAGCGAGAGAGACGGGACAAACATCCCAGGAAAGACACAACATGCAATGTGCAGGTTCCCAGGTGTGACTCAGTGCTCGGAGGAGCAGGGGCCACAGCCCGGAAAAGCAGCAGCAGGGGTGTGCTGCCACTTCACCAGGGCGGCTGGGCGGCCCTTTCTGGGGGATTATTGAAATAGAACACTATAGACATCCTTCTGCTGGAAGCATGCTCCAAGTGGAGGGACAGCAAATCCCAAGGCTCGGAGCCAGAGTGCGTGACATCTTCGAGCAGCAGCAAAAGGGCCAGTGTGGCTAGAGCAGGTGGAGGGCTCTCTGTGCCTGCCCACTCCGTCTACAGAAACCCTGGCCAGGTCACTGCTGTACCAGCCTGCTTCATGTTCTCGCGTCAGTTACATTAACTGAAGCTGTCTCACTTAGCGGGGCACTATTTCCCCTCCCATTAGACGGTCAGCTCCGTAAGTGCTGTTCACCAGCGGATTCCCACCAGCTGCGAGACTCCGGGCGCACAGCAAGCGCTCCACAGAGGAGAGCGGGAATGGCTGCCGAAGGCGTGGGAGGAAGAGGGACGAGATCGCGGCAGGTCGCACGGAAGGTCTGACAGCCGAGATGTCCCCT